AACGTTTGTTCTTTGGTCACTCATTTACTTACTACACTGGATTTTTCTAGGCGATTCTTCTATTTGTCTGTGTCTGTGTGTGTGTAGAATATGATTACACGTTGTCTTAGCCTCATGTATGATATTTTTGTGTCACTTAAATATTCTGTAAGTGATAAAGCTTGGTTATTAAGGCTAACCCAAATCTACCTGTTTGTGTTTGATAGTTTAAATGGAATACCATTTATCATATCTTGTTATTTCACCACACCATGCTTTTCTATAAGACATTCAAGTGAAATTAGGTTTTCTAGAATTTGCTTACTCATTCATTTCCATAGTTTCTGGTTGTTGGTTCATTTGGAAAATTTAACATATTGGTCAATACACAGACTAGTCTGAGATTTTCGCTGGAATTTTGTTTGGGTGAAAGGCTTTATTTCACCGTATAGAATAGTGTGCCACCTACTTTATATCTTATAACTAGTATTATACCACTTGCTTAACAATAGTGTGCCACCTATTTTATATCTTGTTACTGGTATTACACCACTTGCTTAACAATAGTGTGCCACCTACTTTATATCTTATAACTAGTATTATACCACTTGCTTAACAATAGTGTGCCACCTATTTGATATCTTGTTACTGGTATTAGACCACCTTCTGAACACAAGTTTAGAACTCCATTCGTGACATTTGGTCTTTCAATCACATAGCTTCATCTATAGTAGATTAACTGGAGTTTGATATATTTAGTCTTTAAATCACTACACAGCTTCATCTACAGTAGATTAACTGGAGTTTGATACATTTGGTCTTTAAATCACTACATAACTTCATCTATAGTAGATTAACTGGAGTTTGATACATTTGGTCTTTAAATCACTACACAGCTTCATCTACAGTAGATTAACTGGAGTTTGATACATTTAGTCTTTAAATCACTACACAGCTTCATCTACAGTAGATTAACTGGAGTTTGATACATTTGGTCTTTAAACCACTACATAACTTCATCTACAGTAGATTAACTGGAGTTTAATTTTTGGTATGGTTTCTCCCCGCCCACATATCCTCGTCTTTAACGTCAGTTGGAATTCACGTGAAGTGTTCAGAAAGAAATGGAATATGAGTAAATTACGGTCAACGAACGATTCTGTTAATTTTTCAATGTCCATCCGTTGTTAGCTTTTCTTCTGCAACGTAATGATGATGACGTCTGGTCGTGTAATTACTGCAATTGATAAAATCGAATGGACATTCTCCCTCCATTTTAAACTTAGCACCGTTTCATTTCCATCTTTCTTTACCCCCCTAAGGTCTCTTGAACAACGGTTACAGAAAACTAACTAAAGCAGCTGTACGCCCCAAGGTCTGCTTGAACAACGGTTACAGAAAACTAACTAAAGCAGCTGTACGCAATCGGATTCGTAAAACCAGATTTACATTTTACTGAAATGATATGACAAAGTTCACAAAATTATGAAAGAAGAGCATGATATTTAACGACCACAATGTTGACAAATAACGTCTGATTGCACATATCTTCAACATTACTGTTGCACCTGTATTTAGCTGTAAGCTGGTGTTATTGGTATACAAAATTCGTTTATTTCTTCTGAACACTTTTCGTATTTTTATATCAATTGGCAACATCTTGTTGATTGTGTGGAAGTGAAGCAGTAGCATTGGCCACTTTCATAGCTTAGTCTATTAGACAGCTGCATAATTATTTATGATATTCCACCTCTTCCTTACCA